GGGGGGGGGGGGGGGGGGGCCCAAGCCTGCTGTGAGTGACGTGAGAAAGGCCTCTGTCTGGGCCACAGAACCCGCAGCCTGACGAGGTCACTGCACCTCTGCCACCTACTGCACAATGTCTCCACTGGTTCCCAAAGAACAGTGCAAATGCTTTTTAAAGTAGGCAAGCCCTTCCGTCCCATTAAGTCAAACACGGACAGACAAAAGCAAGGCTGCTCCTTAGGGAGGCCCCGCTAAGACGCCTACTCCCTCCCCAGACCCCACGTGCAGGCTCTACCCTGCAGCACTGGGACCCCCCGCCGCTTCGCCGCCTCCCCCTCTTCTCAGGACTCAGGGAGACCCTCCCCCAGGAGCCGGCCTGGCACCCGGCTCTGCACAGGTTACACCTGCTCGAAGCGCCGCACACCACAGGGCGCAGGGTGGCTCTGGGCTCCTCCGCCAGCCCAAAGCCCCAGGAGGACCGGCAGCCTCCAGACACCCACCCTCAAGGCGCTCAGACAAGCACCCCAAAGCCACAGCTGAGCCGAGCGCCCAGGAAGGCCACAAAGAAAATCGCCTCCTGGCATGACCTGCGACCCTAAATAAAAGGCATTCTGGCCACTACTGCCCAAAGCAAAAGGCAGCCCAGGCGTTCTCGTGAGATCCAGACACCTCAACGCCACCTGGAGGCGGGGCCTCCCTTCTGAGTTTGAAGACAGGAGACAGAAGACACCAGGAGGAGAATCCCAGCCAGGAGGGACCCCAGCCTCTTTCCTGTCCTGCTGCTTCTGCCTCAACTCCCCAGCCCCGTCAAGGCCTTCCCCCTGCCCCAGCTCCCTGAGCCGTGAGGACAAACGGGAACTCACATCCACAGGGCCACGAAGGGCGCCCCTGGAGAGAAGGTATCAGGGCTCAGGTGAGAGGTCCTGGCTGTGACGGGGCCCCAAGTCAAGGGCCAGGCCAGGTCTGAGCACAGGCCTCACGGCGGGCCCGAGGCCCCGGGGCACACAAGGAGACGTGGAGCCAGGCAAGCGCCCCCCAAGGAGCAGCAGGACTCAGACACGAGCACGCTCTGGATGAGCAAACCAGCCGGGCCCCGGGCCGTCCACACGCCGCACGCGCCACCAGTGGGGCCCGCCCTCACAGAGGCCGCCGCGCAGCGTAAGCAGCACCGTCCATGGTGCCGCACCGGCGTCCTGGAGGGGACACACAGCTCTCCAGGCTGCCTCCCGACGGGCCAAGCATAAAGACCAAGGTCCTCGGGAGCCGCCTGCAGGGCCGCAGGGGCTGCTGCCCAGCCGGGCTAACGCACCTGCTCCCCGGGCTCCCTCCACTGAGCCGAGAAAGGAAACACAACTCTCAAAATGGCATCTTCCCCGACGAACGTCAAAGGACATGTTCTCAGGGCATCGTGCGTGAACAGGACGCTCGCTCTAACACGCTCACTAGTGAAAAACCTCTGAGGACAGCAGGAGGTGGGTCCACTGGAAACCAGCGAGGGGTGCGGGACTATACGGCAGTCGTGCAAGAGACGGGTGACCACGTCTTCTAAATCCAAAGCCGAGGGGAGACGTGGGAGCTGACCGCGGACCCCAGACAACCATCCGACAGACACAGTCTGGCTGACAGACACAGGCGTCTGGGTCAGCCTGCCCCCCAACGACAACAGTCCAGGGTCACGGATCTCGGGGACCAGGTGCCCCAGGAGCTCACGCAGGGTACGGCCCTCAGGAGGGGACCCACCGCAGCGCTGGCACTGGCCGGGGCGGGCTCGGGGCCCCCGTTGACGTCGGCGCTCCTCTCCCGCTTGGCCTCCTCCAGGTCGGTCACCGTGCTGGGGCCCTTCTTCTTCTTGAGCTTGGCCAGGATAGAAGACTCACGTTCTGGAAACGGAGGCATCTCCTCTAGGACAGTTGCCTGGGGGGAAAGGAGCCCTAGGTCAGCGCAGCACGAAGCCCCATGGCCTCCGGCCCCCAGAAAGGGTGGCCAAGGCGAGGCGGGGGGCAATAGAACAGCGTGGCGCACCAGGATGTCGGTGCTGGCGACAGTGCTGAGCCGCAGGTACTCGACGGCGCGCTGCTGCAGCTCCACGTCAGCATTCTTCAGCTGGCTGTCACTGCGCAGCACGTCCTGGATGGTGCCCTTCACCTCCGGGAAGAGGTTCACGAACTTGATGTAAGTGGACAGGAGGAGCGCCCTGGTGGGGACGCTGCACAGGTGGAACTTGGAGTGCAGCAGGTGAAACTGGGTCAGGGGGCTGGGGGGGCACACATGGGGCACAGCGTCACCTCCACGCCTCACTCCCCGCCTGGACCACCCCGCCTGAGCCTGACCCCCGTGTGTCCCCACAAGACGGGGAGTGAGCGCGGAGTGACTCGGGGGCATGAGCCCACGCTCAGCCAGAAGCTGTGCGTTCCCGCTCCAGGCCAAGTCCAGGCTCCCCTCTGAACAGCGCCGGCCATCAGCCATGCCTCCTTCCCCCCAGAATCCCTGTGTTCTGTACAGCCAACCAGAGCGGATGTCCCCTCGCTACGGGCTGTCCTGGGGAGCTCGGGACATCAGCTGGCCTCTACTAGGCCATCGGGTGTGAATCAGTGGGCACAGGCCCGGCACTGGACGCGGGACTCCCAGCTCCCGGGTGACTCACCTGGATCTCGGGTCTCCTGCTATCAAGTTCCCAAACTCCCCTAGGATGTAGCCACCGACTTTGACCAGGTTCTCGTGGCACGCTGGGGCCTGCAGCGCCTACGGAAGAGCACGCGCAGTGAGCCTGGTGCCCAGGCAGAGGAAGCACCAGTAGTGCTCGGCCTCCGGAGAAAGCCACTGAGCCGTGTGACGAGCCAGGAGAGCGGGCTCAGGCTGCCTTCCCAGGGAGCCTGCTCTGCACGCGGCCGCAGCCCCCAGAGCCTCCTGAGCCCCTCCCGAATGCACTCCCCGCGCCATCCTCTCTCCTGGCCACTTCGGCAGAGGGATCAGTAGCAGGGGAGCCCCACGGGCAGGGCCACGGCCGATCCCACCCCTGGAACGAGAGCTGCTCCCAAAAACTGACGCGTGGGCCCTGCGCAGGGGCGGGGGCACACGGCCCTCGCCGACAGAGACCACAAGCCCACCGTGGCGGCCCCACACCTGCTCTCGGACACACAGAGGCCAGCCCAAGGCCCCAGCCCGGGCAGCCTGCTCAGGAGGCCACGCGCTGACCGAGAGCCTCCCACCCGGGGTCGCTGTGCTGAAATCACGGACAGAGGGCACCGAGACTCCAGCGGAGGCAGGAGCAGTGCCGGAGCCCGGCCTGCGGGAAGGCTGGCGGGGGCGGGGCGGGGCCACACCTCAAACACCGTCTTGGCGGCGTAGCCCTGCACGTCGTCCCGGTTGACGACGATCTGGATGACGCGGTACCACACCTCCTCGCTCACGTAGTCTCCAGCGATGCGGATCAGGTTCAGGATGGTGTCCACGTACCACGTGTAGTCCACGGCGTACTTCTCCGCCAGGATGGCGACCTTCAGCACCTGCAGGGCACGGCCACTCAGGGAGGGCCTCAGAAGGGCCTGAACCCACGTCAAAGCGACCCCCACTTGTCAAAGGAGCCCGTAAGTCTAAGGTTCCAGGAGCAGACGTGGAGGGACGTGTCGAGAGAGGCACAGCGAGCCCCGTCCTCCCCCCGCCACCCGGCCCGCAGCCCAGGCATCCCCGCTGGCAAAGCGCTGCCCGCGCTCGCTGGGCCTCCTGCTCCGACAGCCCTTCTCCCAGCTCCCCAGGGCACCTGCTCCGGGTTGCGGAAAGCAGGCCCCTCACCTCCCCCGGGTACAGCCTCCTCCTGCACCGAGCCTGCCCTGAGCAGCATCGGTCGCCAACCTGGAGCCCGGCCCCCCGTGCTGCCGCCCACACGCCCACCTTCCCCAGTGTGACCTCCTGACCGCGCCCCAGATCCCCCATCCACCTGCTCTGCACACCCTCTGGCCTCCAAGTCGACCCTCCGTAACGACCCCAGAGCACCGTTCCAGAACACCCACCTCGTCACCGCCCTCGGCTTCGAGTCCTTCAAGCCCAGAGCTGGGCCCAAAGCTGGGCGCTGGGGCCCCCTCACTGCCACGCCGGCCTGTGTCCCCGCTGCGCCCACCCCCCACGCACGCCCTGCTCCCTCTGTGCTGAGCACCTGCCTCCCGGGACCTCCGCACGGGGGGGAGGGGGAGAGCCTCTGCCAAGTGATTCTGGAAGACTGGAAGGCTCCCCCGAACATGCTGATAAAAGAGCTAAAGCAAAGGCCTCTCGTCCAGTCCGTAGTAGATGCTCAACAAGGCTGCAGGGACGCGCTTCAGCTGAGACACAGGCATCGGGGCCGGTGACGACACACAGGCCGCCAGAACTCACAATCTCCTCTCGGATAGAGTAGTCGGCCGTCTCCAAGTAGCTCAGCATCTCGGCCACGATCTGCTGGGCATTGCTGCGGTCGCACATGGCGTAGAGGAGGTCCACGGCCCGCTGCCGCACGCTCACGTCCCGTTCCGTCTGGGGAACGAGCACAGAGCCAACAGCCACATGAAAGGAGCCTGGGCAGGGGACGGTGGCAGTCCACTGTGACACATGCCCTCCCACGGTCCCGAGCCGGGCGGCTCAGGCACCCCCCCCCGCCCCCGTCCCAATGCTCACTGGGAGCTCTGCCCACTCAGCACCCAAATCCAGGACCCCGAGAGCCCCTCACTTGCCACCCCACTGCCCCCCTCACTCCGGCATTCAGACCCCGCAGCTCTGGACCGGCCAAGATCACGATCACACTCCATCCCCAGGGGGTGGGTCAGAGGCCGCCTGCTGTGTGGTCACAGACCGGCCCCTTCTGCGTCACCTGAGAGCCTGTCCCCGTGCTGGCTCCCAGCCCCACCCCGGACCCTCAGAAACAAGAGCACAGCTGCTCCCCAGCACAGGACAGCATGAGAGGCACTGCCATGGGCCCAGCCACAGGCACGGCAAGAGCAAGTCTTTCTGATCCAGGCAGTGACTGAAAACCACCCAGGAGGAATTCGAAACACCAGAAAGCGCGATTCCAAACCTTTGTACGGCTCCTGTTCAAAACACACACCACAAACGTCTATTAAACACGCGCAAACCCAAAGGAACAGGGTCAGATGTGTTCTCAGCAGGAAGCCCAGGACCAAGACAGTGGGTTCTGTAGCTTCCCCACCTGCCTTCAGTTTTCTAACACGTAGGAACGCAGTGGATGTGGCTGTGTCTGACCCTGAGGAACCAACCCTCATTAGAGGAGACGACCTCAGCTTGGCTCTTCCAGCTCTGGAATTTCAATTCCCTGACAAAAGCAAATATTCTTCTGCAAGGAGCGAGTTTTCTCGGAGACGTGTACAAAATATTTCATCCTTCTACCAAAACGAACAGTTTCTATCAATCCCAATTTTTATTGTGACTCTGCTCACGTGCCAGGCCCAGTGGGAGATGCCCTGTGTGGTCATGGTCTCTTGCGGGCAGAGGGCAGAACCGCCTGGGGACGCACGCAGCCCGCCAGATCGCCCAGGGCCCGAGCGCACGACCCCAAGTGACCGCGGGACCCCCCCCCCGGGTAGCTCATGAGTGACAGCATGAGGGACAAGGCGCCCCCGTGGCCAGGCAGCCCCAGAAGAGCACACTTGCCTTCAGGGCATTGATGACCGTCTCAATGTGTGTCTTCACAGCCTCGTGGGAGAACTCGGAGCTGGCCAGCGTGCACATGCTCTCCAGGGCCAGGTAGCGCAGGTTGGTCTCCCGGTGCTGCAGGAACTGGCCCAGCTGGTTACAGGCGCGGACCAGCAGGTTTGGCTCGCTGTGCGGACGGGAGAGGTGGGTGGGCAGGGGTCCTCCACTCGGCCTAGGCCGTGCCACGTTCACGGCCACCGCGGCCTCCCGGGACGCAAGACCTGACGCTCACTCTAGTTCGTACCACACAAGGACCCGTGCCTTGCGTCCCCCAGAGCATTTCTGAGTGCATCTGCAGAACCCCTGACTCCAGAGGGTCGAGGGCAGCTGAGACCCCCAGCCTCCACGCCAAGCTGGCGGGGCGGAGGCGGCAGGGGACCCGGCTTTCACGAAGCCTCAGCCAGAGAACCCGCTTGGCCGACAGCTGGACGAAAGTCGCAACACCGAGAGACAGACGCACAGACGGAGGTGATACAACAGAGGTTACTGGCTACTTAAGCACCGACTACGTGAAACGCGGCGTTACGTCTCTGCTCGCTCTTTACTCTGCCCTCTGAACACTTAACAAGGACAGGGAGGCCGCTCCGAGAGGGAGAGTCTCGTCACTGGTGCCCAGCCCCGTGGACCGCAGAGCTCCGGCAGCTGCACCCGGCGGAAGCGCTGCAGGAAGGTGGGGCCGCAGGAGCGCCCCCCACCCCCTCCCCTCCCCATGCCACCTCCACACACTTTCCCACCACGGCCTCGGACCAACAAAGCCTAGAGGACACACATGCTCATGCTGCACTCCCAGGTGGCCCTGGGAGCAGCGGGTCGGGGAGGATGCCCAGGAGAAGCAGGGCAGCCGTCTGGGGGAAGTAAGACCACGGCAGTCACGCTCACGGCGTGGAGGGTCTGAGGCCGGAATGCGCACGGGGCGGCCCGCCAGGGAGGGTGGCGTGGGGCCCAGGCCGCGGGGCCCACCTGTCGTGGTGGATGATAAGGCTGATGGCCTCGAAGAGCACGGCGTTCTTGGCGTTGGAGTGCTGCACCTTCTTGGACTTGGGCGGTTCCTGGGCTTTGTTCAGAATCGTCTCCAGGCACTCGGTCAGGCGGCCTCGCACTGCAGGGTCTTCTGGGCGAGACAGACAGACGTTGGCCTGGCTCCCCTTGGCCCACACGGCCGCCCCGCCTGAGTATTAGTACTCTTCATCTCACAACCCCAAAACGAAGGGCGAGGACCCCTACTCAAACCGTGTGGCTGCTTAAAATAAGAGGATTTGCCAGCCAGGGTAACTACTCATACATTTTAACACAAATAACATACACAAATTTTTGCTGAAATATAGATTATATAAGTCAAGGAAAATAAAACCTCAGAGACGTGGACAAAACACATGATGTCAAAGTTTGAGGGAAGGGGGGGGCAAAAGGTTTTTTCCTCTACCTGCTATTACCAATAGAAATAGAGAAAACAGTCTGAAGAGCAATAAAATGAGAAAGAAAAAATTTTAAGTTCTAGTCAAACCAGAAGAAAAGAAATAATGCACCAAAAAAAAGACTGAGAAAGCAATAAAAATACCAGAACTCCAGAAACTGTTGCAGCGCATCTAAGGCACCTGCCCAACCACCAGCTGTTCAGGGAGGGCGGGCCCTGCGCACCCGAGTGGACGGAGGGCAGGGCTCCCAAAGCCGCCCCGGGGTTGGGGGCAGGGGCCTGAAAGGAGGAGGAGGGTGATGAGATCCACCCCCATCGGGGGTCGGAGTCGCCCCAGATCTCGGAATAAAGGAGGCAGAGGTCAGTTCCACGGAGAGAACTACTGCCGCAGGAGAGATGGGGGCAGCCGGTGGGCGGGAGTGGGAGGCAACGGCGGGGTCCCGCTCCCACGCGAGGGCTCTGCCGCAGGGCGTGCAACTCACGCTTTAGTATAGAACAGACTCAGAATGGAAAGTTACTGGAATTTAACAAAGACATACCTTGTACAAACACAAATGAAGATTATAATGTAAAGGTTACAACAACAAAACCATCTTTGTAGAGGCAATTTGGAAGTATTGAACGCAAATTCTCTTGTGCATTCTTCAACCAGGAAATTCTATTTCTAGATACCTACCATACTAGTCAAATGTAACGTTTTAGAATAAAACACGAACATAACAACATCCGTGATGTGTACTTTAAGGTTACAGATTGTTAACAACTTAGGATGTAAGGTTTCAAACAGTTTCCAGAATTATTCGTAAAAGCAGCGATCACCCCGAGCCGTACCAAAATTGTGATTTCTCTACCAGCTGCTGGGGAAAGCCAAGAGCCATGGCAGCATCACAGAAAGATCCAGAGAACAAGAGCCAGCACCGGAGAGGACTTTAAAGGTAGCCAACGAGAGCCCTAACCCTAAAACGCTGCAGGAAACCCCTGCGGAGAGGCCTCTGCTGCACGGCTGTCACCTGGGGGCGGGTAGCACTGCAGCAGCCTCAGAAGTTTGACTGATAGCCAGGGAGCCGGGACGAAATAGTACGTGTAATCCTGGAGATCTGTGGAGGCCGACGTCACGATCTGCAAAACAGCACAGGGGGATGAGACACCACGGGCAGGTGTGCTGAGAGCGTGCGGCACACTTGTCTGTGTCTGAAGGGCAGGAGCACAGGCGCCCAGGCCCCAGGAGGAGCCACTGCGCGATGACGCCCCTCCCCTGCAGGACACAAACCCTGGGCACCCGACCCCGAGAGCACAAGAGCGACGCTGCACTCAGTACAGAGTTCTCGGAGCCTAGACTGGGAAAGTGCATTCAACGCAGAAGGGAAGCCTTCAGTCATCAGCCCTGCACCCACACCGCCCCGAGCACAGGCCCCGCCGTGAGCTGCCCAGGCCCAAAAGCAAGCGGCCTCCCATCACGCTGCCACCCGCCTGTCCCACGCAGTCTGGGCAGGACAGACACCCCCTCAGCCTCCTGAACACGGGACTGTCCCTTAAGGCAGCACACGCCCACCAACACGCAGCCCAGCACCTCCCCACGTCCTGCGTCTGGGAGCTCGGAGCGGCTCCTGTCACAAAGCTCGCAGCGGCGAGCGACACTAGGTCATGAGTGACCTGGGACGCGGCCACTCCTGCAGTGGGTGAACTCCAAGCCGTGTAAAGCACTGACGGGACCAGCAGAAGCAGGTGCAGGCGCACCGAGTGGTAGAAGGACCGCGCCATCGCATGGACACAGCCAGCCTTTCGAACACATCTCATGCAGCTAACACCACACTTAGAGACAAGCTTACAGCTTTAAATGCAAACAATGAAACAAACAGAGAAACAAAAGCATTGAATTCATCTCAAAGGTTCGGAAAGAGACCAGCAAATTAAGCCAAAGAAAGCAGAGAAAACAATAAAGACATAATAAGCAGAAAGTAATAAGGCAGAAAAATCAAAACAGGATCAACAAAGTCCAAAGAAATTCTTACACAGGATCACACCTGGTGAGATTAATTCTTACACAGGATCACACCTGGTGAGATTAATTCTTACACAGGATCACACCTGACAAGATTAATTCTTACACAGGATCACACCTGGTGAGATTAATTCTTACACAGGATCACACCTGACGAGATTAATTCTTACACAGGATCACACCTGACGAGATTAATTCTTACACAGGATCACACCTGACGAGATTAATTCTTACACAGCATCACACCTGGTGAGATTAATCAAGCAAAGAACGAAAAGGGCGAACACCCAGCATCAAAATGGAGAAGGGAGGCCTCACCGTGAAGCCGGCACACAGAGTAACTTCCGGCCAACGTGTCTGAGTATTCACACAAGTTAGCAAATGTCAAGAACTGAATCTGAATTGAATGCATAATTAGAAGTTGTCTCACAAAGAAAACCCTAAATTCAAATGGCTTCATCAGTTAACCAATGATAAAAATGTTAGCAAAGACACAGAAAGGAATTTCCTTAATGTAGCAAAGAGAAGGAACACTGACAAAACCAGCCTAAGTCGTGCTTAACAGTGAAACATCGCAGACCTTCCCTTCGAGAGCAGAAACAAGACACCGATTATCTCTCATATTCAACACTGCAGTGGAGGTCGGGATTGGAGCCGTAAAGCAGAAAGTATAAACAAACATGGCCTGGGAAAGGGGAAAACTGCCATTGTCCACAGACCACATGACGGGGTACAGAGAAGGCCCAAAGCAATCCACGTATAAATTACCAAAATTAATAGGTGAGTTTGGCAAAATTGCCAACATCAAGGGCAATATACAAAAACCAACTGTGCAAACAAGCATTTTATACTATATCATACGATCGTATAATAACATTTTTAGGGTACCATTGAGAATAGCATTTTTTAAATAAAGTATATAAAGACAAGTTGAATAAAAAATAAAAGAACCTCTACTCGAGAAGTTGAAACATTTTTGAGAAAAATTAAAGACTAAGTAAATGGAGAGAAACACCATGGTCATAGATTGAAAATCTCAATACTACATAGATTTGAATTCTCCCAAAACTGACCTACAGATTAAAGGCAGCCCCAGTAGGATTCTGTTGAGTGGGGGAACACTGGCCCCACTAAACATCAAATTAGCCCAAAGTCACACCACTGGTGCAAAGATGTACAGAGAAACCAACGGAGTGCAGCACAGACCCGGCCGCTGGTGTGGGACCGAGGGCAGCGCAGAGTCTGCAGGGAGAAAGCGGCACCACACAGACACACCTGCCCCACGTCGATCGTCAACCTGCACGCGAGCCCTCAGAACAGGGAACAACCTCAGACATTTACGGACACAAAGACATTAACCATGCAGGAAAGGATGAGTAAGTCTGACTATATTAAAATGTGGAATTTCTGATCACAGAAGACTTCATAAGAGACTGAAACGGCAAGTTACATAGCAGGACAAGATTTTTAAACACAGAGTAGGCTGAACTATACGAAGGTGGCATTTTTGTAGATCAATGATGATTAAAAGTTGGCAATTTTGTTTGGTTCAACCCAATCTAACCAACAAAGTGCTCATATCTACAGTATATAAAGGGGGCTTCCCTGGCGGTCCAGTGGATAAGACTCCTCACTTCCAGCACTTCCACTGCAGGGGGCCCGGGTTCGATCCCTGGTCGGGAACTAAGATCCCACACGCCACGTGACGTGACCAAAAAAATAAGTAAATATAAATGTAAAAATAAATACAAGGGGCTTCCCTGGTGGCGCAGTGGTTGGAAGTCCGCCTGCCGATGCAGGGGACACGGGTTCGTGCCCCAGTCTGAGAGGATCCCACATGCCGCGGAGCGGCTGGGCCCGTGAGCCATGGCCGCTGAGCCTGCGTGTCCGGAGCCTGTGCTCCGCAACAGGAGAGGCCACAACAGTGAGAGGCCCGCATACCAAAAACAAACAAACAAACAAATAAATAAATACAAAATTAAGGTAAATTAACAAAATAAAATAAGAACTTCTATAAAACAACAAAAAAGACAACGCCATGGGAAAATAGGTGAAAAGACTGAAGAGGCTCTTCACAAAAGAAGGTATTCAAAAAGCTAGCAGACGTGCAAAGCTGCCCCAGCTCGCAGATAAGCAGGAAAGCGTAGACCAGATCACAACGCGAGGTGGCCCCCGGCGCTGGGCAGGGGGCAGGCCCGTCACAGTCACCTCCAGGGGGATGGCTAAGTGCTGGACAAGACGAGGCACAGGCGGGTGGGGCACAGACACTGCACGGCAGCAGGGATCAACCATCGGCACTCGAAACCATTCGCCAACTTCACATGTCGAGCAAAGCAAGCCAATCATAAAACAACATATACTGTGTGATCTTGTCACACAAAATTTAAAGTGCAGAGCTGGACGCAGTTTGAGGACGCTCCCTCCCTGTAGCGGGGCCAGGGGCTGAGCTGCTCTGCTCTGTGCACTTGGCCGCGCGAACAGGGCATTTCTGACAAAAAGGTCGAAAGAGAGGGAAGGGTAAGCTGTGAAAAAGTGGGAGAGTGGCATGGACATATATACACTACCAAACGTAAAACAGATAGCCAGTGGGAAGCAGCCGCATAGCACAGGGAGATCAGCTGGGTGCTTTGTGACCACCTGGAGGGGTGGGATAGGGAGGGTGGGAGGGAGGGAGACGCAAGAGGGAAGAGATATGGGAACATATGTATGTGTACAACTGATTCACTTTGTTATAAAGCAGAAACTAACACACCATTGTAAAGCAATTATACTCCAATAAAGATGTAAAAAAATATATATTAAAAACATTTAAAAAAACTTTTTTTAATTAAAAAAATTTTTTTAAAAAAAGGTCGAAAGAAAAGCCAATCAGCTATGAACCAAGACACATTTCCACCCCTGAACTTACAAAGTGACCCAAACATCTTGCATTCCAAAAAGTACATACATTAATTAGAGAAAATAACTAAGACCAAAACCCACCAAGTTCCGTTCCCCTCGACGGACTTACTCTGCTTAACCTGGAGACGGCCAGAGACACAGAGGTTTTAAACTCTTCCGGGTTCTTCTGTGCTAAGGTGGTGATGAGGCTGGCGGCGGCAGTCACCACACCCTGAGAGGAGACACACACACATTTAGACGCCAAAGCTCCTGACGACACCCTCTCATTTTAAACTCCTTTTCTAAACAGAACTTTAAATTCAGAAGAGCAAACGCAGAGGCAGCCCAGGGCCACCTCGGGCCCACTCTGATCAGCTCCCAATGTGCTTAGAAAGCAAGGTGCACACTTGGTTGTTTTCTTGTTCTAGTGTCTCTCTGAAAACTGGGAAATCCAGCACCCCTCTAGCCCAGACCCTGCCTCAGTGAAGGCCAGCGCGGGGCAGCGGCTCTGGGCCCCAGTCTCCCCCCCGCATCGCCTGCCTCTGCGCTCGCTGCCCCGATCTAGATCATTCCGGGTGGACACACCGTGTTCAGACTCACATCAATCTTTACAACCCCAAACTGAGATCGTGTAAAACAGCAACTGAAAAGCCCATTTTTCCCCATTTTGAAGGGTCGTCCAAGCCGTGTCTCTGCCCTCTGTCCTGAAAGCACCACCGGGCCTGGACGAGACCTGACCCTCCCCACGGAGCCCCGCGGAACCCTGGCCTCAGCACACGGGGACCTTCCACGCAGCCCAGGGGAGTCTCTATCGTCATCCTGGGACACTAGTATTTACTCCCAGTAACTCATGTCTCCTGGAGGGAGACACTGGTTAGGTAGAGAAGGTCTCTTGCAAATATAAGAAAGAAAAGACAAAACGAATGACACCCATTGACAAAAACGGGTGTAAAGATGCAAACAAACCCCCTCGAATCATCAGTAATCCCTCCAGCCCCCCCCACCCCCACTCCCGAGCCCCTCCCCCACCCCCACTCCCGAGCCCGCGGGAGAAGGTGGCAGAGTTTCTGCAGCCGAGGCGGGGTCAGGTCCAGCACCACAGCGACCTCATCAGAGGCCACCGCTGTGCTGTTCTTTCGTCTTTCTGATGGAAACGTGAAAGCCACGCTAAAGAAACGGGTCTAACTGGCCTCACTGTCCACATCTCAGTGGGCGATAAGGGCCAAACACAGAGCTTTAACAAACTGGCGTTTGCAACACGCAGGGCAGAGTCTCTTTCACCGTGGCTTCTGAGTGTTTGGGACACAGCCTGCTTCCCCAGGAAGATTCACCTGTGGGATGAATCAGGAAACATTCTGACAGAAGTCAGTTGGGGCTGGTTGGCTCCCGAGGTGCAGCTTCTCACCTTCCCTGCGCGCCCGCAGGGTCTCTGCAGGAAGGCGGTGTGAGGAGAGGGCTGGGGGGTCCACGCAGCCGTGGCTCTGCAGGCCCCAGCCCCCAACCCCCGACCCGGGCCGCCTCCTCTCCCCCCTCGGGACACTGCTCGGGCCGCACACGACTAAGGGAGGGCCAGGCCTGGTGCAGGGCTCTGCACATCACAGCCCTCCCGCCTCTTCCGCTGCTCTCGGAAGGGCCTGCTCCCTCTGAGTGGGCGAGTGACACTCTTCCTGAGGTTTCCTGACCTTGAGACCAAAGAAGCCAAATCTCACACCTTTGGTGGCAAAGTCAGGAGGTGTGCGACAAGAAGCCACAGCCCCGCGGAGGGCAGAGAGCAGGTGCAGAGAGCAGCAGAGGTGAAGGGAGAGCTGGCCAGTGGACGCGGCCTCACCCTGGGCTGGCTGAGACGCCCCTCCACCTCGCCCAACGCAAGCTGGGCTCCTGTGGCCTAGAACCACAAAGGCGCCAAGCAGTGCACTGGCAACAGAGCCGGGTACGTGAAAATACAAAAGCGAACCCAACAGCCGGGCACAGAAGCGTCCAAGGAGGAGAGCCTCCTGGCCGGCGAGACACGGCTCCACCACCCTGGGAAGCGCTCGGTGTGGGCGTCGCTGGCCTTGGGCCTCGGCACCTGTCGGCATGTGGCTGCAGAAGGCCCCCCCGACAAGGCAGGAGCGATGACAACTCCTGGTAAAATGCCACGAACCATAGCCAGTAACGCCTGCTCAGAGCACTGGGCCGCGTCCCCGCCACACCTGGGCTCTGGATGGCCCTGCCCCGGCCCTGCCTTGCCGTCGGCTCCGGGTTCAAGCCCGGACCTGTGTGAAGCCGTCCAACCTCTCTGAGCCTCAGTTTCCTCGTCTGCAAAACTGGAAAACGCCCCACGGCCTCCAGCCTGGCCGCCTGACTCCACGGCAGGGCCTGAACCCGAAGAGGTGGAGCATGGCCCGGCACGCGAGGCCCGCATGTGAACGCTGCGGCCCGAGGCCCCCGCCCCCGCAGCACGGCCTGCAGACGCCCCCTCCCCTCCGAGGAAGGGCTGCCCTATGCAGACTCGAACGTTCCTGGTAAGCGTGGGAAACGACAGCGGGCCAGCTCGCCGGGCAGCCCAACCGGCAAGCCGCCCAACCACCAGCTCTCGTCTCTGAGTCTACATATGCCGATGGGTTACTTTTCATTTAATCTGTAAGGGAAATTTCTCTTCTGGGAAACAATGGAGTAACCAGCTAATGTGCTAACACCTATCAGCTCAGCAGGAAATTCTGTGTGGAACCTCGATTCTCTCGTTTGTACAACGGGATTCCGGCAGGACAAGGCCACTCTGTCCAGCATCATTTCCTACTCGGCCCCGCCTCCCGGTGTCAGCGTGGACAAGGGCCCATGACTCACGGCCAACCACAGCCAGCGAATCGCTCCACATCTCCCTGCCCTGGCCTGCGACACGGGGAGGGCTCGGGCCCGGCTCGCGCACCAGCTATGTGCATTAGGCAGCCTGCAAGCCAGAGCCTGGGGGGCTACAGGACAGCCCTCTGACAGCCTTAAACAGGGTGAGGACAGGCACGCCTTGTGAAGCCCTCAGTGGACGCAGTGTTTCCAGAAGATGCTGGGCTGTGCCTTGTTCGTCCCTGCAGCCGGCAAGCTGGAGACCCTCCAACGCCTGGTGACAGGGTGAGCCAGAGACCCTGTCCAGTCCACCCCGTCCCCAGGGCAGGGGCTCCCGACCCCTAACCACAGGCGCTCCCAGGCTCGATGGACGGGTCGTGGACGTCGCCCCAAGCATCTCGGAAGTCACACACAGCTGCTCGCACCGCACTGGCCCGAAGAGGCTGCCCCGCGGGAGGGGCTGCGCGCTGGCCCAGAGGCACCTACCAAGTGCTGCTCGCGCCGCACTGGCCCGAAGAGGCTGCCCCGCGGGAGGGGCCGCGCGCTGGCCCAGAGGCACCTGCCCCGCGGGAGGGGCCGCGCTGGCCCAGAGGCACCTGCCCCGCGGGAGGGGCCGCGCGCTGGCCCAGAGGCACCTGCCCCGCGGGAGGGGCCGCGCTGGCCCAGAGGCACCTGCCCCGCGGGAGGGGCCGCGCTGGCCCAGAGGCACCTGCCCCGCGGGAGGGGCCGCGCTGGCCCAGAGGCACCTGCCCCGCGGGAGGGGCCGCGCCGGCCCAGAGGCACCT